CATGAATTCAGTAGGTCCCTAAGCATACCTGAGAATTTTAGCACCAGGGGGTGAGGAGTTGGGGGAGAGTCTCACCAGAGACTTGAAAGACCCCATGGTGCACATTCTCCCTGGGGACTGTTGCTACTACTGCCCCATAAACTCCCCACATGCTGGTGGCTGTTTCTGCTGTGGCTGTACATTCTGGCATCTCCTGTAAATTGGTACCTGGGCTGTTGTCCTGTTCTCCCAGCTCTTGTTACATTAGTGTGCTGTGGAGCCTTGATTACCTGACCAGGTGGACCTCTGAGGACTCTTCCAAAAAAGGTTGAACTGGAGTGAGGGATGCCTCTTTAAGAAAGTTTTTCTAAAGGGTCTATATTCTCTCGTGCCTTATCATTAAAGAACAAAGACATTCAGAAGTCCTCTGCAAAAGCCATGTCTACAGTCATTCATATGCTACACTTATCAAATGTCCCCTGAAGAGGTATGCTACAAATCAGAAAGCTTACCCCTCTAGTTCTGAGTTCTCAAAAATATGCATTTAAGCTATTAGTTTTATTTGGTGGGAGTGGGGAGGGGAAGGTCAGTATTGATGCTAGCAGGGCCTACAACAGTTGAGTTCTGGAGCTTATTTTCTGAGGGAGGTTTATCAGGAAATGGGCCAGAGAGGGAAAGAAGGAAACCGTGCAACCTCCTGAGATCCAGAGCTGCTCAGAGTCTATGGGGACCCAGAATAGTAGTTGGTGTCCAGAGGGGGAGAATTTCACATAGGTTTATGGGTCTTTGTAATCTACGTAATGTTCTTTTAACTTAAGTAATGATTAAAACCATTTCCTAATTCTTAAAGTAACATTATCCTTGTATACTACATGTGCACTTCTGTTGCTTTAGTTTTGTTTAAATGAAGCTTCTGTGCCACACATAAAACACAGAAATATTATTTCCTCCTTTAGTATCCTTCCAGCATACATATAAACAATTGCTATTTCTTTTTCTAGTCACTGTTTACACCCTGTTCTTGTTTCTCATGAAAAGCTCTACTTTCCAAATTTTTTTATAGTTTTTTTTTCATTCTTTTTGAATTCCCTACAGTATTTTAGCATTCACTTAACAGGAAGGTTACCATGTGGTAGATATTAGAAAGTCTGAAGTCAAAGTTCTGAGTAACCTATAAACTAAACTTGAACTTTGGTAACCATTTTCTAGTGGGGGAAAAAACCTGTTTTGAGCTTTATTTTAAAAACTTGATTTATTTGCCTCATTTGAGGAGAGAGATTGTTTGCAGTTTTTGAAGTAGCCATGATCAGTATCTAGGTTTCTTGTTTTTAAATAGAATGAGTAATTTGATGATAAGCAACAATTGCTGCATAGGGTTAGTTTTTAGCTAGTTACCATACATCTGAATTTTCCTGGACATGTCCTCTTTTTGGATCCTCCCATCTCTGTCCAGGCAGTTTTTTAAAATATCAACAAATGTTTGAGATTTTTGTTCTGGTCAGTATCAAAGTTTTCCCCAGCACTTCACAGGTTGCCTTAACGAGGAGCTACTTGGGGCTGGCAGGAGAGCAATTGGAGGCAGGGCTGGCATGCAGCCAGGCAGGGTGGTGGGAACAGCCCCAGCAGCTGCATATAGGTAAGTGTATGGGGGGAAGGGGTTGGAAGCTGTCTGGGCACTGGGGTGTGCAGCAGGGTTGGGGAGGTGGGGGAGGAGCCTGCCTGTCCAGCAGTAGAAGGGGGCGGTGGTGGGGAGCCTTCAGGGGCAGCAGGGAGCTACATGGCTGGCTGGTTGACACCAGGGCCGGTGTTCTTGTGCTTGGAGGGGCAGGGTATCCAGGAGACACTGCAGGTCTAGAGGGGAGCAGGGGCTTGTAGGTCAGGAATGAGGGGCACTGGCAGGGCTGTTGGGGGCAGAGGGGCTGTGGGTCAGAAGAGAGTGGCAGGGCTGGCGGGCTATGGCTTGGGAGTGAAGGGGGTAAATGTGGGTCTGGAGCACAGGGCACAGGCAGTGCAAAGGAGCTGCAGGTCGGGAGTGAGGTGTATCAGCAGGAATGGGGGAGGAGGGGACTGCAGCATGGTCTGACGGGTGGGGTACTGTGGGTCAGGAGTGAGGGGAGCAGCAGGGTTGGGGGGCTGTGGCTTGGGAGTGAGGGACAGGGGCAGGGCATGGCCATATTACTGCCCCCTGTCCTATTTCCTTCCCCCACCCCAACAGGTGTCATCTTTTTTGAAACTGGAAATATAGTAACCCTACTTTAGCAGAAATTTTAAAAGATTATTAAACACAGGAAAATAAGGAAAATAGATCTTATACAGTTATAACTCTAGTGTAATGTGAGATTCTTCCCTGCTTATAAGTGTGGAATATTCTTTCTTACAGATTTCTAACTGATTCTAGTGAAGGTAATGTGCTGATCTTGCTCAGCAAAGTACCAAAATCTGCTTGCTCTCTGTAGTGGTATAGAAATGTCTTCCTGAATCTTCATTCAGGTGTCCATTGTTTGCATGTTACAATACTGTGGTATTTCAATTTTCACCACAGCAAAAACATTGTAAAACTATCCATATTTTGCATTGTTCTATAGAATCTGAAGTTACATTAAGTATTTCTAGGCTTGCTAGTTGTATAGAAAGTTCTTCACAATTATAAATCAACATGCTGCTCATCACCTTTGGGCAAGATTTAAACAGTGTAACATTTAAGAAAAATGTAGCAATGAAGATTGGTTTGCTGCTTCTAGGAATTGGATGCAGGAGAGCCTTGAATTTAGGTTTGAATCTTCAAAGTTCCAAAACAAATCTTTGTTCTGAAGCATCCAGAGATTTGTAGAGAAATTTGGGATTTTTCTACAAAAGGAAATTAGCTGGCATAATTATAGCTAGTCATGCCAGTATATTCTGTCTGTCTCCTCCCCCTCCCCCCCCAAAGTAGGTGATTTGATTTTATTCTGAAATATAGTGTCTATATGGGAGAGTATTATATCTGTAATGTAATTATTTTTCTGTTACATCAGTCAGTTTCTCAGTACAGACAAGCCTAATAAAAACACTCTAAGTTATGACAGTACTAAAGTGACCTTTAAGGACCTGAAACATTCAATATTGAATCTCTATATTGGATACGCTGTAATATCACTATGCCTTATGCCTTATTAGTGACCATTGCTTTGATCAAACCTGCTGACTCGGTTAATACAGAACATAAAGTAAACAGGTTTTTTTTGTTTTTTGTTTTTTTTTTAAGGTTGTTTTTGCCATGAAGGTGGCATGGGTGAGAGGTTAGCTTTAGCTATGGGGTGTGTCCCACTGCAAAATCAAATCCATGCCAAACACGTGTGCCTGCCTCCACTAATGTAGTATTTACCCATGTGAGAAACTAGGGGCATAAGTAGACTAAATGGGGGCCCTAAATTGAAGGGGTGGTTTCGTTTTTTTTTTTTTTTTAAAACAGTGCTTCAATTTAGGGTGAAGTAAACTCCTGTGTTATGTACACCTGTGTCTTACCTGCCTCTCTTGGGGAGGGGAGGGCAAGCTGCTGTAAGGTGGAGCGGTCCCTGGGCTCCTGTGGGTTGTGGGGCTGGTGCTTCCCTCTGCGGCAGCGGTGGCACCTGCTCGCAGGCACCTGGCTTGGGCAGTCCCGTGGGGCACCACAGCTGCAGAGGGAAGGACCATGTCCCCATGCAGCTCATGCAGGCAGACAGGCTCCAGGGGGGCAGGGGGGAAAAAATCAGACTTGCCAGTTTTTTGTTTTGTTTTGGTTTTTCCTTCAGTGGAGCCTGTCTTCCCAGGCTGTTGCCAGGCTGCCTGCACAGCCCCTGAGCTGCACAGAGCCCAGTGGTTTGCTCTGTGGCTGTATGGCAGCAAACTAAAACTCATCAGAGGTGTTTTGGGTCGCTGTGCCCCAAAGTCATTTAAGGCACATTATGCTGGCAAATGTGCTACAGTGGCTGGAATTAATGCATAATATGCCGCCGACACGTGCAAATACCAACACCATTAAAGCGGTGGAAGAACATTTAAGCTGCTTTAGTGTTGTGCACACATGCGCCCTGTTTTGTCTACACGCACCCTAAGACAACTGGGGTATATACCATGCCTTTTTTAATGCACTCTAGCTTCTCTGATCTATGAATTCTTTCCTTGTGTATAGAGGACAGACTTGTCTGTCCTTACAGAAATGCTTTTGGTTTGCAGATTCATTAAAATAAACCACTTCTGACTTAGTGTTCTGAATTTGATTATTATTTACCTTGTTCAGAAATCCACCTCAGTTCCAGCATTTGGCCATCTGGTAGCACAGTGCACAGGGAAGATGATTTTCCCACATGGTTATGTGAAGCATAGTAGAAATGTAATAAGCCATGTACCAAACCAGTATTTAAATTTAAGTGGTTTCTGGTGCAGCAGAAGGAAACAGGTAGCAAGGAAGACAAAAAACCCTATGGGAATTTGTGGGCAGGCACTAGAAGATGGTCAGCTGGAATGTGGATTATCCTGTGCCCATTGCAAAGTAAGAAAACTGCCAGCCTGGGCTGAAACAAATCCAGGTTCATATCAATACCCATCTCTGACAGCTACCTAATATTAATGTGTCCCTTAACCTTATCCTATCCACACACACAAGCCTCCAACAGATGTGCTGGTAACTGAAATCATTTATGGGCAGCATTAGGTGAGATCCCAGTTTTAATTTTGTAGTGAAGATATAAGCTAAGTGGGTATTACCCTAATCTCCACTTCTGGCTGACTTCTCTGTCCCCAGTGCTTTTTGTCTGGGCATATCACATCCACTTGCACCCATTGGTATATTTATATGTAAACATCCATTACTGTGTTTGAGCTGTATTGCATGATGCGAGTTTAGAATTTTTATGTATGAGTGCTGCAGGCTTGTGTGAGAGCTGAAGTTCCAATTTTGTGTTGGATAGCTTTATTATAAGGCAGTGTTTAGATTGAAAAGTAAGTGCACAATTACAATTTTTACAGTACATTTTACAGTCTCTTTTGTTTTCTTTTTCCAGGCAAAACCAAAAGTAATTGAACCAATAGACTATGAAAATGTCATCGTCCAAAGGAAAACACAAATTATAAATGATGCTCTACGTGAGATGCTTCTTTTCCCTTACGATGACTTTCAGGTAATTATTCAATTTCCTTTTGACTGAAATTTTCAAATGGTGGTATAAATGTATATATAAATAAGCAGTAGCAAAGGAATGGGGAAAGTATTAAAGCAATATTTTTATACTTAAAGATCTTACTATCATTTGTGTTCTCAGACATGCCTTTTTCTTTTATTGCTTGGTTCTAGTACATGTTGATAACCCCTCCATTCTTTTGGGATGTATTAGGTTACATTTCTATGTCTCACTCAGTATTCTCACCATTTGAGACAAATGGTCAGACTAATAGTTCTCATTGCATTTTAAATGTCATCTGTGTGGGTTTTTTTTTTCCTGTCAAATTAAGATCTGTTCTTTATACCTAGGAATCAGGACATTCCTTTAAAAATCATGATTTTTTTTTTTATTGTAATCTTTTTTTTAATGCATGTGGTCATGCCCTAAGTCGACCTTTTCCCCCCACAGCAGTGAAAAATATAACCCTTTCTTAAGTATAGCTAAGGTTTTTCTGTAATCCCAGGTCTTCACGGGCTTAGACTTTTAAGAAAAACACTAAACTTTTGTGGCTTTTGTGATTGGAGCCCTTTGTCTAATACAGGGAGATTCTGTATGTAAAAAATAATGTAAATTAGAATTGCACTTCACTGCAGCATCTGGCTGTTTCTATTTAAAAAAAAAAAAAAAAAGTATGAATGTTTCTCCTATGTAAATGCACTTTTTGTGGAGATTTAATTAATTTATATATACAGAACATAGTATGCAGTAATTATCTTCTAAAGCCATGCACGTCATTGGAGATATTAAAGAAAAATCAAGCTTAAAGCAATCTACCCGTTTTCTACGCTAGTAGTCCAGAAGGTATACCAGCATGAGCAACAAAGACGTGACTGCAGTTTGTGTAGATATGCCCAAGTTAAGGCCATTGTAGCCTGCATTTGATTTTTTTTTTTTTTTTTTTTTTTTTTCTGTCTCTTGCTCATTCTCTCTCTCCTATGTCTTGCTGTGTCTGTTCCTACTGTCTCTTGGCACATGCACTTTAAGTAGAATAGATGAGAGAGAAACATGGACTGTGACTAGAAAGTCACACGGACCATGGTGCTAGAACTAAAAGAAGGTATGACGAGCCTTCTCAACCTCTGGGTATTAGAGACTGGTGTATACTCTGAAGCCTGAAATTTAATCTCTTCCAAGATTTGTTGGCATGAATTTCTTGACTTTAGATATTCTTGTTATCCCCATAAATCTGAGGTCCCTTCTTAAGTATAGCTAAGCATTTGGTTGCCACAACACTTTAGTAGTGAGTTCAAAAGTTTTGTCTAGATGTTATGTGAAGACAAGTATTTCCTGTGTTTGGTTCTGAATCTGCTGCACTTCAGTTTCATTGACTATTACCTTGCTCTTGTATTGTAAGAGAGGGAGGACAAATTCTTCTATCCTATTCATTCTTGTATATACTTCTATGATGTCATTTTATGTCTCTAAAATGAAAAAAAGACATTTTTCAGTTTTTCATGTGGTTCTATTTTATCATTTTCCCTTTTCTTTGAATCTCTTCTAACTTTGCAATAGGTGTTTTGAGATCCAGTATAAGTTTGTACCATGAAGGGTAAACCCATAGCCACTGTGTGTCACTTGAGGGCTGGAGGCAGGGCAAGTGGAGAGGAGAGGAGAGGAGATGGGTGAGGCAGAGTCTAGGGCTGGAGGGACATATTGCGACTCACCAGGTATGTGCTGCCCTGGCTGGGAGGCCAGCTTAGGCTATCCTGTCCCCTGTGCCCTGTTCAATTGCTCCACAGCAAAGACAGCCCAGCCAGAGGCACTGGCCAGAAACATCACTGTGCTACCTGGCTGGAACAGGGTGAGAAGGGCAGAGGGGGAGAATGTCTCTGGCTCTGCACTGCCTGGCCAGAAGGAGGAAGTGAGGTGGGAGGGGGAAGAAAACAGTGCACAGGACCTAGTTTGGAGTGGGCGGGTGGCCCACAGGCCCACTAAGGAGGGAAGGGGGAGAACATATCAGTGCAGGATACAAACTGCAGCATATGGGTCTTTGTCTCCCTGGTACTGGTAAGACTGATAATCTTCCTACCCTCTCCCCACTCTTTGGCACCTGTCAACCCTGCACATGTACCTCACAGTGCAGGGGATGTTTTGCTGAGTGCACAAAAACTGTTTTGTGCCTTTGCCCAGGTCCAGCCCATCCTGGTAGTCTCAATTCAGCAGCAAGGTCAGAGTCTGGAGAACCCAGTGAGAGTGAGACTGGCTTTGTCATTGTCCCTTGTCCCCAGAAACACATCAGTGCAGCCCTATGTGCCCCAGTACTGTCCCACACTGAGCCCTCTGTTCCAGTTGCGCTTAAACCTGGGGTTCCAACAACACTGCCCCACAAGTTGTTGTCAGCCCCAAACCCCATCATGACACTAGGATCCCATGTGGTGGCACTGCCTTAGAGCCAGCCCTCGGGGACACCTCATCCCGCGTCCCCCATGGAATCATCTATATCCTGAGGGTGCTGCCCAGTTTGGATCTTATTTGGCCCTACTTGGAGTGACCTTCCTTCCTTTTTCATGTCCCTGTGACAAGTTATTTAGTAGAATTTCCAGTTTGCATTGAAATCTGACAGGGCTGCGCCATGATCTCTTCTGCTATGACCTCGAACTTGTGATGTGCTGTAGGCAGCCGCTATGTGACGTGTGAGCCTCAGGCACTCAGTGGAATGGAGGCAGGGCTGTGCAGTGGAGAGGTATTAGGATGTTTCTACAATAGGTGTCGCTGCCAAGAGTCAGGTTAAGACTTCATGGCTGTGGAGCTGCTGGTAAACTTAAGGGATTTGGTTTCTCATTTTCCATATAAAACTGCATTGTTTGCAGGGACAGGAAAAGGTTAACTTGGCTCTTGATGGTGACAACTCACTCAGCAGTGTTGTGACATGACTTTGCTCTGAGTGTCTGGGGACTCAAGGCCCCCCTGCCACCATTCTGGTGCCATGGGGCACAGATTCCATCAGGTATGCCTGAGGGGTGGGGATCAGGGTGACACTCAGAGGTGGGGCACACTTGTCAAGGTTCCTCACCACCGGTGTATACCATATTCTGAGTAAGGTTGATGCTGCTGTCAGAGAAATAAACCCAACCCACCTATGCTTAGGCTTACAGATTGGTAATGTAAAACACTTGGTATGTTCCTGAGAGCAGCCAGTGCTCCAGGCATTCTGACTTCAGCCTGAGCATACGGTTAGGAATGATTTCTTCAATGGTATATCAAAGTGCTGTATAGATTTATCCACAGCGACCAGTGCTACACATAGTATTCTAGGTGTGGTGAAACTGTCTAAGTATTGGCCTGTTTTCCCTATTCTTAATCTTTTCCTGTTGCATCTCAACACCTTGGGTTTTTTATTTAATGGCAACTACACATTGAGTTGAGGTCTACATTGAGCTGATCACAAAGATGTCTATCTGTTTTTCCTGAGTTCCTCTTAAGATGATTATGTGTAGCTGGGGTAATTAGGAAGACCTCTGTGTACATTTTAGGCAGTTCTTTATCGTTGGAAATTCTGACCACTGTATAGAAATCTGCTCAAGCCATTTCCGCTTTCAGCATTCAATTTTTATTTTTATCCAAGTGTTTTTCCTCTTGCTTAGATTAAACTGATTACAATCTCAAAACTACTAAACAGTATAGGAAGCCAAGCCCTACTAATTACAAAGGCCTTGGATGTAAGGTTAGTTTTTTTTAAAGTTATGGCTGGATATTAAGTAGCTGCAAAGTGTGTCTTTTTGTTGGGGTTCTGCCTTTTTACAGCTTGCTAGTGTGAAGATATTAGTACTCTAAGTGAGCAGGACAAAGGTGCATTGTTGAGACTTTGTTCAAAACAAATTTATTGCATTTGTCCTTAACACTTATTTGATGGTGAAAGATGCATTTAATTGGGATGATTAAACAATTTTTTAAGGCAGCGCTTAACTTGAGACATTGATTATTAGGATCATCTGTTTCATTTGATTGGTTAAGCTGTTTATAGTATTTTACAGGTAAAAATTCATCTTTGCTAACTTTTACTGTTACAAAACCAATATGTTCAAGCTGCTTTTCTGTTGTTACTGCACCTAACAGAATCTTACCTAAAATACATTTCATCGTTTGTTTTGAGTTATTTCCTGTTTATGTGATCAACATGGCCATATTTTGTTTTAATATATTTTGAGATGTCGTTCTTTATCAGAACCTTTGCTTAGCTGGCTCATTCTATTTCCACTAGAGTAATTAATAGGATACTTGAGATAACCTTAGAAATTTGATAATACAAAGCAGTTCACTTCAACATTTTGTATTTTGGTTCAGTTTAGTAGTCAGTGAAAGTCTGTTTCTACCATGTTTATTTCCAGCAGCCTGAACTGTGTTTTAATCTTTTTTTGTCCATTGTACATTGTTCCTGTAATAATCATAGTAGAGGTATCAAGGATTAAAGGAAAGCTCAAATGAATTTCATTTATAAGGTGAAGTGTTCAAATGCCGTTGAGAATCTTGTGCAGCAGCAGGCAGTGGTTAGTAGTGCTCTGTAAGTCTGTGGGTGCATCTACATGGGCAATAATGTGACACGATGATAAACTCGGGAGCAGTTTGCTCTGGAGTCAACTGTTCCCGGTGCAGTGTCTACATGTGGGCCTGGGACAGCAGCAGTTTGAGCTAGGGCAAAGCAGGCCCCTGACTGGCTGGGATGACGATGCAATTTATGCCTCTGGTCACCATGTATGCATGTTTCAGCGCAATAAAGTACCTTGTCATAAGATAGTACTGTCTCTGACAGTACTGTCCTACCGTGGAGCTAATTAGTTTACTGTAGATGGTGATGCTTTACTGCAGAGCTAATTAATCTACTCTGCGGTAGAGTACATGTGTAGATGCACCCTGTGAAAGCTAGCCGTTGGAAGGGGCAGAAAGCAAGGCCGTAATCCGCCTCTGCCATCCTGACACTTCTCCACTTCACTTAGAACTGACTTTATACATGGAAAGAT